TATTGCCAAGAAAAGAGTTATGACCAAAATGTCCTTCAGTTTTTGTTTGAAGGGAAACGCGTCACAGCTGCAACCACTCCATCTCAGGTAATTAATAATACATTCTCCAAATTAGTGTTTATGTTTTTAATACTTTAATTTACTGAAAATATAAAATTTTAGAATTTTGTTCATATCATTGTATATATATTTAAACTTAATATTTGAATATTTTTTTATTTCATACGACAATATATAGTTTTCATTTGACAAAAAATTTTTTTTTTTAAAGGTTGATGAAATTAATTTTAGATTTGTGTATGTGATATTTTTATTAGATCGAAGGTCGTCAAAAGTTGATTCATTTGATAATTCTTATCTGAAAAATTTAATTCAAATTAAAAAATTATTAACGTTTAAAAATTTTATAAAAAATATAGAATTTGATAAATAAGAAAAAATAATATCAAGGTAAAATGTGATTTGGGAAAGAAATAAATGAGAAAAAAATAATAAATAATTTTTGTAAAATAGCAAACTTGATTTAAAAGCAACAATGTACTTGTACGATACTCGTGTACTGCACCGGTACTTAAATATTTTAATATTTGAATAATAGAAAAATTAAAATAATTTATTTTTTATATTGAAAAATTAGGTATAATGAATAGAAAAATTAAAATAGTCTATTTATTTGTTTTGAATTAAAAGAATAATTAAATTAGGAAAATGCCCAAGTACGTAAAAAATGTACATATAAGTGTACATAACACTCACATAAAATGAGGTTCACTTGATTTTGAAAAATGCTACAACTACATAATAAATGTACATAGAAGTGTACATAACACTCACATAGAGTGGGGTCCACTTATTTTTTTATCTTTGACGGGTCCCACTCAATGTAAGTGTTATGTACATCCCTATATACAATGTTATGTATATGTAGCATTACTCCTTGATTTTTTATTTTTTGTTGATCCCACTCAGTGTGAGTGTAATGTACACCCTTATGTACAATATTATGTACCTATAGTATTTCTCATTAAATTAATGGTGGTATATTTTGAATGGAAAATATATAAGAGTAGCATGCTAAATACCATTTTAGAAAAAAAAATAAAAATAAAAACATAACGCTTTATACCTATTTTATATCAGAAATAACGATTCCGTAAAAAAAATAATGGCCAAATTACGGGTTAAATACCAATTTACACCAGATTTTTTAAAAAATTATTTTTAATATAATTATATTAATTTATTTATATAAACAGAAAGTTATACGCTTCATTTTAATATGTTTATGTTGTAATTAGACATTAACTGATTTTATTATTTATTAAAATTAGTTTTATACATTATTTGTATTTTTAATAACAAATTAATTTAATATTTGTTGAAACCGATATAAACCGCTGAACCGGCTGAAATGTGTACCAAAGGCTTGCCGGTACTCGTACGGTATTTAAAACACTGCTCACACACACGGACCACTTCCCATACATTATTTGTAAATAAACTCTGCTGACAATTTGATGTATTCTCCGTTTGAATGAATGTTACTTAGCTGGGAATTGAGGATAACGATGAGATCGAAGTGATGATGCACGGCAGTGGTGGTGGATTTTGCTCGCCCATTGATGCTCTCAACCACTACATAGGAAATTAATAGGACTTTGCTTGGCATTGTCCAAATTATGAATGTGCAGATATATAGACTGCAATTGCCCCTGACTTTATTTGTTATTAGTCCAGCTTATTGTATGCTACACATGTTGATGATGTAACTATTGTACTTCTTAAATTTCGGATTGCGTTTCTCTCATGTCTCCTCATCATCCACATTTTTACGCTACATATTTTAAAAAAAAAAAAACAATTAAAACAATTAATGTACCCTAATTCTCGATTTATGCTTGTCATCCTTGCGCAGGGATCATGTTAATATTTTCGGTATCGTTCCAATTTTATCGGATGTCCCCGAAGGAACAAACAATTAGTTAGTGTACCCTATATCGACAGAAGTTCAAATATATGAAGACGAGGAGAGATAATAATTTGAATGAAAATAGTCTTTTCATCCTACTATAAAAATGTATTAAGTTTTTTTCCCGCCGCTTGTTAAATAAATTAACTATTTTTACTTTAAAAAGTGTAAACGCATTGTGCAATGAATATGCGACATGTCGTACGATGGATATCAACATATGTCATTCGCACTTTATTGAGTGAAAAAATTACATTGTGTAGGCAATTATTAATTGATACGCAATAGTTATGCAGTTTATTAACACAAATTTTGTTCATTTGAGGTGAAAAGGTTAAATTATCAATGGCCGGTGTGAAAACTTCATATATTCTAAGGGATTGCTTGGATATAGATATATTGGGTTTTGATATTTTTTTTTTTTTTTTTT